TTCACACCTGTTAGAAAATTTCATTGTCTTGTACATGTGATTGGCAAAATGAGAAAATTTACAAAAAAAAATCTTTGTGGAATTTTCCTGCTGAAGTTCCAGACAAAGTCCCACCACTGACAGTCCTGACTGCTACTGGTAATCTCGGTACTTACTTTGGTGTTCAGAACCTGGATTTGTGTCTCATGCTGTTCCATTCCAACCTCTAAGACAAACACATCCATAGTTTCAAAGTCTCCTGCAGATGCATCTGATCTGGGAGCATCTTAGAATGACATAGTCCTTGGCAGTGTCTCTGATAATTTTCCACCTTTCAGTGTGTGTGTTCTCTCTAAACTTACTGAGTGTAATTTGTGCAAACACCCATTACAATTACTCTGTTTTTCCTTAGTTACTTAGTTTTTATGGGTAATAAACAGAAAATGCAGGCAGCCAATCACTCAGAAAAGGAAACACTTTGATATACAAGATTACCAAAACTAAATCAAGAACAGATAAGCAATTTAAATAGACCTATAACCCCTATGGAAATAGAAGCTGTCATCAAAAGTCTCCCAACCAAAAAAAGTCCAGGTCCAAATGGCCTCAGTGCAGAATTCTACCAGAAATTCAAAGAACAGCTTATACCAATTCTTCTCAAAGTGTTCCACACAATAGAAGCAGAAGGGTCTTTGCCAAACTCTTTCTATGAGGCTTCAATAACCTTGATCCCCAAGCCACACAAAGATACAACTAAGAAAGAGAACTTCAGACCAATATCCCTCATGAACATTGATGCAAAAATACTCAATAAAATACTGGCAAATCGGATCCAAGAACACATCAAAACAATCATTCACCACGATCAAGTAGGTTTCATCCCAGGAATGCAGGGATGGTTCAACATACGAAAATCCATCAACGTAATCCACCATATAAACAAGCTGAAAAACAAAAATCACATGATCATCTCACTAGATGCTGAAAAAGCCTTTGACAAAATCCAACACCCCTTCATGATAAAGGTCTTGGAGAGATCTGGGATAACAGGGACATACTTAAACATAATAAAAGCTATATACAGTAAACCAACAGCCAACATCAAACTAAATGGACAGAAACTCAATGCAATTCCTCTAAAATCAGGAACAAAACAAGGCTGTCCACTCTCTCCATACCTTTTCAACATGGTACTTGAAGTCCTAGCTATTGCCATACGACAACAAAGGGGGATCAAGGGGATACAAATTGGGAAGGAAGAAGTCAAACTTTCACTGTTTGCAGACGATATGATAGTTTACATCAATGACCCAAAGAACTCTACCAGGGAACTCTTACAGCTGATTAACACCTTCAGCAAAGTGGCAGGCTACAAGATCAACTCAAGAAAATCAGTAGCCCTACTATATACAGATGATAAAAGGGCTGAAAGAGAAATCAGAGAAACATCACCCTTTACAATTGCCACAAACAACATAAAATACCTTGGGGTAACGCTAACCAAACAAGTGAAAGACCTGTATCGTAAGAACTTTGAATCTTTAAAGAAAGAAATTAAAGAAGCCCTCAGAAAATGGAAAGATCTCCCATGCTCTTGGATAGGTAGGATCAATGTAGTAAAAATGGCAATCCTGCCAAAAGCAATCTACAGATTCAATGCAATCCCCATTAAAATCCCAGCACAGTTCTTCACAGACCTTGAAAGAACAATAATCAATTTTGTATGGAAAAACAAAAGACCCAGGATAGCCAAAACAACCCTGTTCAACAAGGCAACGTCCGGAGGCATCACCATCCCTGACCTCAAGCTCTATTATAGAGCTATAGTCCTGAAAACAGCTTGGTATTGGCACAAAAATAGACAGGTAGACCAATGGAATCGAATTGAAAACCCGGGTATTAACCCACACACGTACGAACATCTGATCTTTGACAAAGAAGCTAAAAATATACAATGGAATAAAGAAAGCATCTTCAACAAATGGTGCTGGCATAATTGGAGACTGGCATGTAGAAGAATGCAGATCGATCCATGTCTATCGCCATGCACAAAACTTAAGTCCAAATGGATCAAAGACCTCAACATAAATCCAGCCACACTGAACCTCTTAGAAGAGAAAGTGGGTGGTACCCTTGAACAATTGGTACAGGAGACAGCTTCCTGAACATAACACCAGTAGCACAGGCAGTAAGATCAACAATTAATAAATGGGACCTACTGAAACTGAGAAGCTTCTGTAAGGCAAAGGACACAGTCAGCAAGACAAAAAGGCAGCCCACAGAATGGGAAAAAATATTCACTAATCCCACATCTGACAGAGGGTTGATCTCCAAAATTTACAAAGAACTCAAGAAGCAAGTCTCCAAAACACCAAAGGACCCTATTAAAAAGTGGGCTGCAGAACTAAATAGAGAGTTTTCAATAGAGGAGTCTAAAATGGCTGAGAGGCACTTGAGAAAGTGCTCAACATCCTTAGCCATCCGGGAAATGCAAATCAAAACAACTCTCAGATACCATCTCACCCCTGTCAGAATGGCTAAAATCAAAAACACCAATGACAATTTATGCTGGAGAGGATGTGGTGAAAGGGGGACACTCCTCCATTGCTGGTGGGAGTGCCAACTGGTTCAGCCACTTTGGAAATCAGTGTGGAGATTCCTCAGAAAAATGGGAATAAACCTACCACAAGACCCAGCAACTCCACTCTTAGGCATATATCCAAAAGATGCCCATTCATACAACAAAGAGGTCTGTTCCACTATGTTCATAGCAGCTTTATTTGTAATTGCCAGAACGTGGAAGCAACCTAGATGTCCCTCACCTGAAGAGTGGATAGAGAAAATGTGGTACATCTACACAATGGAGTACTATTCAGCAGAAAAAAATAATGGAATCATGAGATTCGCAGGCAAATGGATGACACTAGAAGAAACCATCCTGAGTGAGGTAACCCAGTCACAAAAAGAGAAACATGGCATGTACTCTCTCATATATGGATTTTAGACATAGATCTGGGGAGTGCCAGCCTACAATCCTATGGCCAGAGAGTCTGGGAAACAGAAACTTTATTTAGTGGCTGATCGAAGAAGAGGCAGACTCCCTTGGTTAAGTACTGAGCTGAACTCAAGAAAGCCAGTAACAGAGAGGGAGGACTGATGATCAAAGGGATTAAGACTGGGCTGGTTTAACCCCCAGAAACAGCTGACCAGACAAAGGTTAACTCTTGAATCCCAGGCATTAGCCTGGGAAGCCAGCATGGGACTTATCAAGACCCCCTGAATCTGGGTGTCAGTGAAGAGGCCTAGGGAATCTATTGAGCCTTGGGCAGCAGATCAGTACCCATCCCAAGTATACACACGGACTTTGGACTCCAATAGAACAATGTGAGGTGCACTCTCACCCAGAACTCTTGGGAAAGGGTCTAGGCCCTGCCCTATATGAAATGACACACTATGGACACCCCCATGGAGGGCCTCACCCTCCCTGGAGAAATGAGAGGATAACGTGGGGGGGAGGGGAGGGCACGGGAGGAAGGGAGGGAATGGGAGAAGGACCTGGAACTGACTTGTGAAGCAACCTTGATTCTTATCTAAATTTAAACTGGAAAATAAAATTTAAAAAAATCCTGTCATTTGAAGCAAGAAGGTTTACATAATCCAGAATACTGATTTCTTTGATGTACTCCTAGTTATTTATTAGACAAGAGATGTACAGATTGTTCTTCCATGTTTACATTTTTGAAGGAAACACTCTGGCCATGATTACTGGATTATGGCTTTTTTTAAAAAGCAGTGTTGGATATAACATCATGTAAAGTCTGTTCAGAAACATTTGAAATTTTTGTAGTTTGGTGGGGACAGAGAAGTAATGGATCAGGAAGCGATTATTTTGTTCATTTTAAAATGAGAAAATGGAGGTAACTGATGCTGGATTACATGGTAAAAAAAAAAGATTACACAAATAAGATGATAAAACAGTCTGTCTGTGTACTTAATCATCCCTGCAACTTTCACCAAGATGATGAGGCACTCATATAACAGGCAAGGTGTTTACAAGACAGACTGAAATAAATAATAAAAGTAATATAAATAACAAAAATTGTAAATAAAATTAATAGGTCATTGTACATGTTGTAAATCTTTTATAATGCAATTTTATCGAAGCAGTTGTAATTCCATACAAAATGCAATTGTTTTGACATAATCTGGTTACTCTGAAGAAATCTTTGGGTGTAAAAGATTTATTTATTATGTATAATCTTCTGCCTTCATGTTTGCCTGTAGGCCAGGAGAGGGCCCAGATCTCGTTATGGATGGTTGTGAGCCTCCATATGGTTGCCAGGAATGAACTCTTGGCCTGTGCTTTTAATCACTAAGCCATCTCTCCAACTCAGGTGTATAATTTACAATACACTAAAGAGTCCTGGTGAATAGAAAGAGAAGTTTTGAAAAAAATCACACACACACACACACGAGAGATGACTGATTCATAAAACCTGATTCTTTTTACAAAATGGCCTGTGTTAAAGTGGAATGAAACAATCTTCAGATAGAACAGAAAAATTTGTTTTGATTAATTTTATTTTTTTGTTGCCTGACAATTTCATACATTCATATAATGAATGCTAGTCATTTTCACACTGTGTTCCTCTCATCTCCCTCCACTCTTGGTGGAACATGGGGGTATCTATAAACAAATTCAAGCACTGTGCCTTTTTATAGAAGAGACTTGAGCAGCCACAACTTTTTTTTAAATTACAGGTGGACTTAAATTCAGAATTTTGAAGCTATCAAGGGACATATGAAACGTGATTCTTGTTACTCCTGTCATTGCTTCACCTACAGTTACAGAGTCTCAAGGTTGGAGTAGATTATTTGGCTATCTTTACATTGTTTTCTGACTTTTGAGGCCTCCAGAAATCCAAACAACCTCACAAGCAAATGTAAACAATACTGTTACACATTGCCAATGCTTATTTTACTTCAGGCAAAAGAAATTGCCAAGACATTCTCATGACACAATGGCCCCTCATACTTTAGCAGGAACTCTATTTACAGTACAAACTGTGACTGGAATTTTAGCAAATTTTTCTCTTCTTCGTCATTATGTGACCCTGTGTGTCACTGGGTTTAGGTTCAAGTCCACAGATGTCATAGTTCAGCACCTGGCTGTAGCCAACTGCCTCATCATGTTTTCCAAAGGAATCCCACAGACCATGACAGCACTTGGAGTAAAACATTTCCTTCATGAGTTTGGATGTTTATCTGTTCTTTACATTTATAGAGTGGCCAGGGGTGTGTCCATTACAGCAACCTGCATACTCAGCGTCTTTCAGGCCATCACGATGAGCTCCATCAACTCCAGCTGCAAGAAGCTTAAAAAAAAAGTTTCCCCGTATGTTGGTGTCTCAATTTTCCTTTGTTGGATCCTATATATGTGTGTAAACTTAATTTTCCCTCTGTACAGCCATAGCAAATGGAATTTCAAAAACATCACATGGAATCGAGACTCTGAGTACTGTTCTGCAGGACTTCAGAATGGAATCACAAATTCATTGTATATAGTGCTGGTATTGTTACCTGAAGTGTCATGCTCGGGACTCATGCTCTGGTCTAGTAGCACCATGATTTGCATTCTACACAGACACAGGAAAAAGATGCAACATATCCACAAGACAAGGCTCTCCTCCAGACCCTCCCCTGAGACCAGAGCAACCCAAAGCATCCTGGCCCTGGTGTTCACCTTCGTATTTTTTTATACACTCTCATCCACCTTTTATGCTTACATTGCCACCTTTAATATTTCCAGTAAGTGGCTAACGAACACCTCTGCCCTAATTTCTACATGTTTCCCGACCATCAGTCCTTTTGTTTTAATGAATCGTGATTGCACTGTAACAAGACTCTGGACCAAATTCAGAGCATCTGTCAGATTCATGTCACATTTGTATTTCTTCACAAACTTCAGATTTATACAAAGACCAATATGCAATTCAATAAGAAAGATACAAGCTTCTTAAGGCAGACACCAAGGCTGGTTGGGAGTTCTCCAGATGGTTGAATGTCAAACTTTGGATGATAGAGTAGGCTCTTACAGCAAGGCAATCACCCTCCTTCTTTAATAATCCAAGTCATGATGAATTTCATGGAAAATTTAAAAAGATGCAGTGACATATTAGCAAGCTCGATGTACAGATAATACATGAAATGAGACACAAATAATCTTTAAGACACAGAGAACATATTGTTATGTCAGTCTAGTACAGGTGCCTGTCATGGGAAATGGTCATCACTGGTTTCTTCTGGGATTGTCTATGTAGAAAACACAGACCTTGGTCTATAAACACAGTGTCACTTGTTCCTGGCTATAACAGGTTTTTTTCTTACACAAAAACACTGTGCTCACGACATGGTTTCAGTTAAGACATTGGCATTCCTGGAGTTATTGTGGTGGCTCAGAGGTTATAGTGCTTGCTGTGCAAATACGAGAACCTGAGTTTAGATCCCCAGCATCCAAAAAAATACAGGCACGGTGGTGCCTGTTTACAACTTCAGTGCCAGGGGGAGGAGACTGTCAGGCCAGCCAATGTATCCAGAGTGGTGCAACCCTGTCTCAAAAATACGAAGACTGATGAATGTATCAACACCACAGCAACTTCTGACTTCCACATGTACCTGCTTGACAGTCACAAACATAAACATGTGCATACACAGACACAGACACACACACACATACACACACACACAGATAGATAGAGAGAGAGAGAGAGAATGAAACTTATTTTTTTTAACTTATATTCTACAATGGTGTTTAGCCTTATCTCAGGCCCCAAAAGACTACTGGTGACTAAGGACTGCAATTCGAAACCATAAACAAAGTAAATCATTTTCTTTTAAGTTGTTTTATATTCATCAGTATTTAAAATAACAGCAGAAATGATTTTTAAAATTGTATACATGCATCCCAAACAGAGAATTGTAGCACTTAGCACTTAATAAAGTAGAGTAAGCCAAATTGAGATTGTCTGCTTGCTGGCTCGTAATGACAATGGATTCACATATGTTCTTTGCCTTGCATTAGAAATGTCCTCATGGGTGTATGAGTTTGAACTGTTGGTCCCCATCTAGTGGTACTGTGTGGGGAGATTGTGGAATCTTTAGGGTGTGTGGCTTTGCGGGAGGGACTGTATCACTAGAGGAAAACTTAGAGCTTTCATAGCCTGGTCTACTTCCTGTTCTCACCGTGCCTTCTGACTCCCAGATGAGCACTGTGCTCCTGCTTTCCCCATCATGGTGTTCTGCATATTCCCTGGAACTCTGAGCTTTATCTCATACAGGGGTGGAGTCAAACGTAAAACATCAAAGTCCATCACAGTGACATACATTCTTCCACAAGGCTCTGCCTTTCTTCTCCTTAAATAAACTTTATAGCAAAACTTTTGAAGACAAGGTAAACAAAATGCTCCAGAGTTAATCAGACCCTAAGTCTGTATGTCTCACTTAATTTCTACAGTCAGAATAGCCATTCTGAAAACTCCTCCTTCTGAAGGTTCCATTAACTCCCCAAACAGTGCCTCACAGATGGCGTTAGGAAAGTGGCTCTAGGTGGGACTGCGACAGATCTCATGGTGAAGTACAAACATACCATCAGGCAGAACTTACATGGGCTGGAAGTTTTTTGGGGAAGGAAAAGGAGTGGTGGAAGGAAGAGAGAGAGAGAGAGAGAGAGAGAGACAGACCGACATACAGACAGACAGACAGAGATAGAGACTTCTTCATTTCCAGTTTGTATCCCCTTGATCTCCTTTTGATGCCATATTGCTCTACCTAACATTTTTAATACTATATTGAATAGGTAAAGACATAGTGGACAGCCTTGTCTTATTCTGATTTTAGTGGAATCACTCTGAGTTTCACTCCTTTTAGTTTGATGTTGTCTGTTGACTTGCTATATATTGTCTTTATTGTGTTTAGGTATGCTACTTGCATCCCTGATATCCCAAGAACAAAATTCAACACCCTTCAAGATAAAAGTCCTTGGGAGATCAGGGATACAAGTAACATAACTAATGTTTGGTAGGCAAAGGACACTAAAAATATGAAAAAAATGTAAATTACATATCTGACAGAGGGGTGATTTTCAAAATTTATAAATAATTCCAGAAACTAGATATCAAAATAAAAAATGCCCCATTTGAAAAGCTGGGAACAGAGATAAACAGAGAATTCTCAACAGAAGAATCTCAAATGGCTAAAAGATATTTAAGGAAATGCTCAACATCCTTAATCATCAGGGAAGTGCAAATCAAAATTACAATGAGATACCATCTTACACCTGTCAGAATGGCTAAGATAAAAAATACTGAGTATAGTTGTGTTGTAGAGGATATGGAGTCAGGGGAACACTCCTACACTACTGGTGCGAATGCAAAGTTTTATAGTCATTTTGGAAATCAGTTTTGTAGTTTTTAAGAAAATTGGCAATCACTGTACATCATCACATAGCGTTATAATTCTTGGGCATTTTACCCAAAGGACACTCATTTATACCACAAAGATGTTTTTCTCAACAATGTTCATTGAGGCATTATTCATAATATCCAGGACCTGGAAACATTCTGGATGCCCCTCAATCATAGAAGGATAAGGAAAATGTGGTCCATTTCCACCATGGAGTACGACTCAGCTGTAAAACATTATGATCTCATGAAATTTTCAGGAAATGGATGGAACTAGAAATAAACATCCTCAGTGAGGTAACACAGATTCAGAAAGAAAAACATGGTACATATTCTCTCATAAGTGGAAATTAGATGTAATGCAAAGGATAACAGAGTAAAGTACTCAGCTTCAGAGAAGCTAGGTATCAAGCAAGACCCTGAGGGATGACATGGATACCTTGGGAATATATTTAGATGACATGCACAGTATAAACTGAGATATCATAAATGGGATGGGAGGGGCTATGATAACAAGATGAAATGAGATGGTTTAGGTGGGGAGGGATGCAGTGGAAAAAACAAAGAGGATACAGTAATGAAGAGAGCCACTATGGGTTTAGGAAGAATGTGGTGCTAGGATAAATCTCAAGAATTCAGATGGTGTACATCAAGTGAGGCTCCTAGCAATATTACAGAGAATGCTTGCTCTGCCTTTCATTTTTAATCAGACTGAATAATATTCAAACTATCATTATAGAGCTATCATCTGGTAGTTAATGGAACCACAACATAGAACCAGGTTGAGCTCCAGGAATCCATGTAAAAAGAGGGAGGAGGGAACATATGAGCAAGGGAGGTCAAGATGATAACAGAGAAATCTACAGAGACAGTTGAACCAATCTTGTGGAAACTCGTGGACTCTAGACCTACAACTATGGAGAATCCAAGAATCCAGGGGATGAAACTAGGCCCTCCATATGTGGAAGATAGTTATGAATTTTGTACTATCAGAAGGGACCCTGGCAGAAGGATCATGATATAAACCTTGTATATGAACACCTTGTTGGAGCCCATTCCTTGAGGTGAGATGCCATGCCCAGAGGTGGTGGGAACATGACATAATCCCAGTACAATTGCTAGGTTATTGGAACCCATTCCTTATGGTAGGATGTCATATTCAATTGTAATACATGGGAGAGTGGTTGTGTCTTGTCTCAACGTATTGTACCAGGCAATGTTGTTTCCACATGGAAGTCCTTCCCAGTGAGGAGGAGTGGACTGGGGGTTTGCTAGGGAGGAGGTGATAGTGGGTGGCAGGAATTTAGGGGGATGGGAGGAGGTGTGGGAGGGACAACTGTGGTTGGAATGTAAAATGAAATCAAGAAATAAAATAAGAACAAATGAAAAAAACTAAAAAAGTTTGATGTGAATTTCAGAAGATATTTAATTATTAAGAATAAAGAAGACATACTTTAAATGCCAATTAATTGAAAAGAATTGTTATCTTTGATATTATAAGGAATTACATCATTTTCCTCTCCCATTTTTCTCTCTTACAAACTCATGAACACTTTTTTGTAATTGTTATTATATAAATACCTATAAATGTGCATTGAGGTGACTTTAGTAATATAAGTGTACTTAATATAATTCCTATACATATTATATACATATAATCTATGCCTGTAACTTCAATTATAATATATAACTTATTTGATATTTGAATTTTATCTTCTGCCACATGGAGAACTTTTTTTCCTTGCTTTTTTCCCTGTAATTTTTGTATGCTTGAGTTCTCATGATATTTTCCCATTCCCATCACTTTGCCTATTCTGTTCCTAGTTCAGCTCACCTATGTGAAGTCATGTTCATTCAACTTCATGCATATTCATGGACAATGAATAAAATTCTCAATAGACACAATCTCACCGAAAACTAGTCCTCAGGCTCTTATATTCTTTCCGACCCTTCTTCCTCAGTGAAGCCTCAAATTTAGGAGTATATTTGCTGCAAATGTATCATTTCGAAGTGGGATAAATTAGTCAGACAAAGAAACCCACCTCGTTCCTAAGACCAGATGCAGTGAAAAAAACCCACCCTGGAACTTAAACCATATATGTGAATGAAATCCACCCTGATCCTGACACTAGAGCCAAAAAGCTACAAAGGACCAGTGAAAGAAATACACTTTGGTCCTGAAATCAGAGACAAATCTTCTCCTCACCAACTCTGCAAAAATTCAACCAACCTGTGAGCAGGAAACTCAAACACTACTAGAGCAGAAAACCAACCAATTCCCTAGTATGAAATTCAGCAAGTGTGAGCTTGTCTGAACTCAAGGGTATTGGAATCTACTGGTTAATTCCCTCTCTGAAAATCTTATGCCTGGGAAACTCCTCTCCTAAGAAGCCCTATAAATTTGAATTACCCTTCTCTGTGTTTTCAGAGGCAGCCCCTCTCCTGGATTCCTCAATCCCAAATAAATCTCCTGTAAAAGTTTTGTTGGAAGACCTTCATTTACACGCATGTAGCAGAATCTCTTCTGGGTAACTCCCTTAGAGTAGCAGAGTAGAAGAAGTAACTGACACCTGCTGGGAAACTCCCTTAGGAGAACAGAGTAGACATAACAGCATTTCATCAGATCTGGAGCAGATTGATATATTTCTCCAGGTGTTTCCCACTCAGTGGTGTGAAACAGAAGAGGTGACAACTTGAGCAATAGCTGAGAAGAAGTAGATGCATCTACTGGGAACCTCCTAACAGGATTGTATCAGAACTCAGTTGTAATGGCTCTCTTGGAAAGGAGAAAGATTGCCACATCCTGTGGGGAGACCATTCCCTACAACATCCCAGCTTCAGGTACAGCTTGACTTCCTGAGAATTTAGAATACCTGACCTCTCACGCTCATAGATATCCAAGATATTTTCCCTTCACATCTGTAGGTATAGCCTGACTTCCCTGCAAGTCAGATAAATTTGCCTCCAGGGCTGCAGGTATCCAGGACACCTTCCTTTCACAGCTTCAAACATAGTCTGGCTTCCTGACAATTCAAGATACCTATCCCTCCAGGTCTGCAGCAATTATAGGTATATCCTGACTTCTCAACAAGTTAGGATATCTTACGCTGCAATTGCTGTGACACTTTCACCAGCCACTCAAAATGTCACTCTTATAATCGCCTCTAAATTCTGCATCTAAAACAGCTTCAAATATACTGCCCAAAATTTTCCAGCCTCACACAATACTCCAGCCAAGGCTCAACAATTATCCTGATTTTCTCCAGTTTCAGCTAAATCTTCCACACAAAGTAATTTGTAGAAAACACTGCCATAATCCTTCCCAAATGATTTATGAATGCTTGCCATCATTTAAAGAGGGTTAATTACAAGTTGATATTAATTATAGTTAGCAAAAATGCCAAACTAAGGAGTTACATTTAAGTATGCCATTCAGAAGGATAAAGGGGATACAATATAGCGATGATGAGATAACAGGTTCCATTATTGAATCTACTTTAATACAAAAAAGCAATAATTGACCTGAAAATGTTTCATATCGGATTGAATTTTGGTTTATGGATACAAAGTCAAAGATACTTTGGTATATATATAAAATGTTTCCATTCTTGTTTTGGGTATTGAGTAGTTTTGTTAATTGACAGTTAAAGCTTCTCCTCGGAGAAGAGAGACTAGGTCATGGGGGAACAGGAAGGTTGAATGGGGGGGTAGAATAGGGGCAAGAGGGAATCATAGGTTAGAAGACAGATCAGACACCAGTGTGACCTCTAGTGATCTAAACGGATGACACTAATTGGCAAGCTAAGCAATAGTGTAGAGACCACCTCAAATGCCTATTCCTGATAATGAACTTGATGTCTATAACCATCCTGAAGCCTTCATCCAGTGACTGATGGAAGCAGAGGCAAACACCCACAGTTAAACACTGAACTGAACCCAAGGAACCCAGTGACAGAGAGAGAGAAGCAATGAGCAAATTGGTAAAGAATGGGCTGGCAAAACCAGCAGAGACAGCACATCTGAACAAGGGAGAGCTCTTGGACCCCAGACTGACAGCTGGGAGGCCAGCATGGGACTGATCCAGACCCCCCAAATTTGAGAGTCAGTGAGGAGGCCTGGGCTACCTATGGGGCCCTGAGCAGTGAGATTAGTGTTTATCCCTGGAATACAAACAGACATCGTGTGTCCATAACACAAAGAGGGATGTTCTCTCAGTCTGGACTCTTAGAGGAATGTCTGGACCCTACCCTGAGTGAAATGACAGACTTTAGATATCCCTTATGTGGAAGGAATTGGCAATAGGGTCAGAAGCTGGGGGGGGGGATGGTGTTGGGGGTGCAGGAGGAGGGGAGGGAGGGGTGAACTGGGATTGACATGTAAAGCAAGCTATTTAAAATTAAAATAATAAAAAAAACAAAACCGCTTCTCTGAGATTCAAGATTGCAATAGCTCTTAGTAGCTGGTTTGCTTTCTAGAACTAGGCATGGTCACCCTCTTTACAGTCAGGAATCATGTTCAATTCAGCGCCCAAAACTGCTTATGAAAGTTCCTAGAAAGAAGTTACAACAATGAGGATAACATACACAATAATAAGAGTTTAACAATTTATTGTGTTTTAATTTAATTATGTGGAAATGGAAAATCGTTTAATACATTTTATGATTTTAATGAAATATTGGTGAATTCTGGATAATCATGTAATAATAAAATTGAAAGTTGTAGCCAATTCATATTTGTAAATTTAGAATACAGAGCAATTCAAGAAAAATCAGTAGATTGGAAGAATCACCCAGCTAAAATTATTATTATTGCAAGTGCAAGAGAGAATGCATTAAGCTCCAAGTCCTTTAAATCAATAATATGAATATTAACTGTCTATATTAGAGAAGAATATAAATTCTCATAATGAGCCAGGTGTGTGACTGGCCATGTTTAATCTCAGAACAAGAGAGTCAAATGTAGGGAGATCTCTATAATAAAAATATGGTCTTCGCAGAATGTTTCAGACAAGTCTGGATACAAAAGGAGATCCTTCTCATATGAAAATACTACCTGGATTTCGGCATGTACACCTTCAATAGTTCCTGTATACAGTGGTTCTAAAACAAATTTGATGAACAAATAACAGCCCGAATAATCAAGACCATTCTATATTGTGAAACCCACATTTGCAATAGAGACAAACTGGACTTTATCTTTCAAATTCTTTTCTTAATATAAGAACTATGACTAGTATTGAATTAGGTTTTGAGAGGGTTATTCCTTCTAGAATGAGACCTGTTCCTGATATGATGTAGACTGTTCTTCTCTGGCCTTATCAAGATAATGTAGCACTTTGGGGCAAAAATGAAGCCAAGGAGGGCTGCACTAGAAGCCAAGATAGAGAAGACTTCCATAGCCACCATGACCTTCCCCTTGGTGCTGTGGTAGACAGGGAGGAATGTGACCCAGACACAGAAGAACACCAGCATGCTGAATGAAAGGAACTTGGCTTCATTGAATGTGTCTGGTAGATTCCGGGACAAGAAAGCCATGGTATAGCTCCCAAGTGCCAAGGAGCACAGGTATCCCAGGACACCATGAAAGGCAAAAGCTGAGCCCTTATTGCACATAATGATGATATGCCCATGCTCAGAATGAGCATCTTGATCAAGGAAGGGAGGAGAGGTTCCTAGCCAGATTGCACAGAGGACAAGGTAGATCAGAGTACAAATGGGGATGATAAAGTTTGGGGCCTTTGATATTATTAACCACCTCACCACTCTGTTTGGAAAAGTGACCTTGAATGCAATAACCACAGTGATAGCTTTTGCCAACACAGTGGCAAGAGCCACAGTGAAAGCACCTCCAAATGTGATCTGCTGTAACATACAAGCAGTAGTGTTGAGACAACCAATGAAGAGAAAGGTACAGAGGAAGCAGATGGTGAGTGTGACAAGCAAGGTGTAACTGAGTGTCCTGTTATTAGCCTTGACAATTGGAGTGTCTCTGTTCTTCACAAAGAGTCCAAGAACCAGAGCTGTGAGTACAGAGAAGCAAAGAGCTACAGTTGTAAGAGACATCCCCAGGGGGTCCTTATAGTCAAGAAAACTCACAACTTTCTGGAGGCATTGCTTCTTCTCTGTGTTTGCATAATGACTTTCTGGACACTTCATGCATTGATCCATATCTGTTTAGAAATGAAGGTGATCGTGAGTCTATTTTGAGTTGATCATTTTTTTTGTCCTAAGACATTTCAGTGCCTGCTCTTTGGATTATTACCCAAGTTACTTTCCTATTTTGTCAGGAACAAAATAATAAGTACTCTGTAGTGAATAATTCCATATTTATACAACCTGTCTTCTTTATTAGAGATTTCACGTGTTATTTATAAGTACATAAATATTTGTGAACTCACCACAGCCTTCTTTTCTCCTGCTCTACTCCACACCTTCTCTCATTTTTCTCTCCCAACTCAATGTGCTCTCTATGTCTTGTTTTTACATTTTAATACACACCGAGTCTATCCAGTTATGTTAGTATGTACATGTTGTGGGGGCGTCTACTGTAATATGTGTAGCATTTGAGAATCCACAACCTTAAGGGACACTGATCTCCCTCCTTTGTTAATCATCAATTGTTCAGTAGCCTCTCTTACAATGCATTTTCTTTACAGGTGATATTAGTCAAACAAATCTTATGTCATTTCTCTCTTATGAACTTTTGCTGCCTTTTGTGTTATTTGTGTATCTGTGGTAGAATTTATTTGAATTTGAATTACATTGCACAAACTGACTTCTTTGCAATATCAAATTATATGTTATATCCTCCCTATGAATTGGAGAGATGTGTATAACAAAAGAGGGAGAATTACTTTTGATATTATTTTCATAAGTGGAGTTCTTGAGTATGGATTCAAATTTTCATTATCCTTATAAAACTGTGTTTTATGGTTTTGTTTTTTCTCTGCTGAAGGTTTATTGAATAATCATTACCATATTGTCAGTGGTTTGAAAGGTGCACGGGTCAACACTTGTAACTACTATTGAGGAAATGTTACTAATACTGAAACTTTTTTTGAGTACCTAACAAAACCGTCTTATAATATTCTGCTCTTGAAAGTTTGTAAAATTATCCTGTGTTTGAAATTCATGCACACTGATTTGCACATATTAGATTTCTACTGTCAATTTTTCCTGTGTTTCTTAAAGAAAACACTAGATATTCGATTTTATTTTGTTGATACACTTTAACACAGATTTAAATGTACTTTAGTAGAATAAAATATATATTTCTATGTCTTGGAAATATTTACTTGTTTCCTTATACTATTCTAACATATTGACATAAGCCTTCTTAGGACCTAATTTAAAGATTTTATTTCAAGTTTGGTTATTTGATTTCTTTTGTATAGAAGTATTGAATTCCTTTTTGTTTTCTACTTTGTAATCAAATATCCACAGGCATAGCTGCAACCCTTAATAAAGGCTGATGATAGATGTATTGAAAACTAGTTTATATAAAATGAGGATATCTATTTCAAGATAACATTAACTTTTTGGTAACATTCAATCAGTAATCTTTTCTACTTCAAGTGTTTAGTAGTATTATTTACCCATAATTTTGTGATGTATGCTCATTAGAAGGACTTTGTATAGGTAAGTAAAACTCTATTATCATGTACACATGAAAAATATTCATGAAACTGCCATAAACTGAAGCTCCATTACATATGTACACATATATGGGGGCATTAACACTCTCTTATCTATCTATCTATCTATCTATCTATCTATCTATCTATCTATCTATCTGTCTATCTGTCTATCTATATGCATATATATATTTATTACACATCCATAGATACTATTCATGTATATAATGTTTATATATATATTCCATATATAGATCCATGTATATATTCATATCTATTCTTTAAATGGGGTTACTTTTTGCTTACACTTTGAAAGCACAGTTATTATATCTTAACATGGGAAATTCATGGAGGAATTTGCATAAATAACTACTCATGCCAGAGAAACTATTTCATGGCTATTAAAACAAGAAGACTCAGCCGGCGGTGGTGGCACACACCTTTAATCCCAGCACTCGGGAGGCAGAGGCAGGCAGATCTCTGTGAGTTCGAGGCCAGGCTGGACCAATAGCCTCCAAAACAATACAGAGAAACCCTGTCTCGTAAAAATAAAAGAAAAGAAAACTCATGTCTGTAAGAGTGTGGCCTGCGCTAATAATTAGTTCATATTCCAGCAGAGCCTCTATAACAAAGAGTATTTGGGTATTGCAAACTGGATTCAATAAGGATTTATTTCGTATTTTTTGAATAGAACAACAAGTGAGCAAGTTGAAAGTTTTGGAATATTTGGCAAGGCATGGATATGATCAAAATACATAATATGAAATATGAAAAGATACACAAATAAATACTCTACTTCTAATTTTATTACTAGGTATGGAAATACTGACTTCTAAAGGTGTTTCTTCCTAAAGTAAGATGTGAGTAAGCTCATGAACTGTTCCTTGAAGCGAAGATTCTATAATCCCTTGTAGGTCTTCTTAGTTCATGATGGAGCTCTACCTAACATATTGTTGAAATTGTCTTGAGGATATTGTCTATGTTACATGGAGCAGAACAATAGAGACATACATAAACATAGCCATTGAATAGGGTAAACTGAAATTTATTCATGCTGTAAGTCAAAAACCTGTTTACTGAAGACATCAAAAACAAATGTCTAAACTTCTCTGTATAAAAACAAATAGCTGAGAAGAGTTATTATGAATATTACCAACCCTACATTTAGCTGAGTCCTAATTATATTGAAATACAGTTAATTGCCACTCTATTATTCTGTGTTAAATTTTGTGGGGAAGTAAAGTGTGTGGATCATAACAAAGAAATTGGTTTCTTGCAGTTGCCTATAAATATAAATCAACTTATAAATTTCTATGCCTTGTGTGAACAAATCCAGAAACAGCAGTAAACATTTTATCCAAAATAAGAGAAGGAATAAAATTGTCTCACTTCTACGAATATATATTTCAGTTGTTAAGATAATGTGAGGTCCTGTAGACACGAGGAACCATTCTTTGTAAGATTCCTGCTTACCTGTCTCATTAGAAATCTCCTTGTCAGGACAGGGAATGCAATCATAGCAGCAAATATTCTTGCCAAGCAGGGCAATTTTCCTGAATCCAGGCCCACATCTCTTATAGCACACAGACTGAGGAATCTGAGAAAAATGGAAGCACTGTTAACAAATACTTCAAGTTTACTGAAAACTCCAACAATACTGGTTTTGAATATTACATAACTAATTTTAAATCTCTATGCCTACAAATGCAGAAAATGATTTTAAAGGATTGTGTAATATACACAATTGTTTTGATATTATCAAAGTGTTAAAAAATTTGAAGCATATTGAGTTTGGGACAAGTTTGAAGCAGGTAGGTCACTGAAAAACATGACGTAGAATGTCAACTTCTCCTTTCAGGCAGTTACTGTCTCTTTACTTACTAGCATCTTGAGAAACTTTTAAGTCTACTATCATTGTGAATTATAATTTCCAACTTGACAGGACTTATAATCATCACAGAGTAAATTTTTGGGTATTTGTGTGATTAATGTCAAAGAGATTTTTAAGGTTTCACTCAAAAAGTGAGTGTCACTACCCCATTGACGGTTGTCTCAGAAGGAATAGGAATGATAAAAATGTGTTATCTCTGGTATTTACTGCTTTCTGCTCAGAATATTATGTCATTAGGAAATTCATGATCCAAAACAATAAATTTCCAAAGATAAGGCCTGCTTCTACACACTTTCACTAAAAAAAACCACTTTCTTAGGTTATTTTAGATATGTATTGATTTGCAGTAGGACTGGTGATGAACATCCATGTCTGTACTCTATATTAGTTTCCTTTTAAAGAGGTGCAAAGGGGGAAATGATAATTGATTTTGTACTTAAATTTTAAGCATGGAATCAAAATCAACTATTTTACTGTTCAGCATACTGAGATGTGAATGATCTACTTGTCACCAAGAACACACATCCAACAGGACCTTGGTTCCTGGGCAAAACACTGTGCCCTGCTCCCACCCATCTCAGCCACACTACCAGGGCAGGATGAAACACTTCTCCAGCCAGTTGACAACAACATCCCATCATGGGACCCTGTAAACTCCTCTGCTCCCCAAACCACCAATACCCAATGAGTTTAGCAGTTCCATGTGATACAGTTACTTAGTGTACAGAGGACTAAGACAGATGAATGAGAAAGACGAGAGAGAGAGGGGGGAGGGAAGGAGGGAGGATTGAGAGCAGCTCCCTGGGTCACAGACATCTACTGAACAAAAAGAGCTGAGAAAGAGGACTAAGAGGGTTGGATCAAGAGGCAAAGACTCTGCCTACAACAAGAAAAAGAAGAGATGGGTGGACATCAATACAAGAATACGTTAAACAAGCTAAAGAGAAATGTGGTAATACCAGAACCTAGTGGTACTACATAAGTAAGACCTGAACTTCCCAATGCAAAAGAGCAGAAGAAAATTAGCTTAAAAATAACTTAATCAAGATAATGTAGGTCCTTAAAGAACAAATGAAGAATTGTATTAAAGAAATGGAGGAAAATACACACAAAAATTTGGAAAGAGAATCAGTAAGTCCCTTAAAGAAAATCAAGAAAACCAAGGAAGAAAAACAAGTTCAAGAATACAAAATTGAAATGGATTCAATAAAGAAAACATAAATGGAGAGAATTCTGGAAATGGAGAATGTGGGTAAAAGAACAGGAAATACAGATACAAGCTTAAAAAACAGAATGCAAGAGATGGTAGAGAGAATCTCAGGTGTTGAAGACAGGATAAAAGAAATAGACTGGTCAAAGAAAACCTTAAAATAAATGAAGTAATAACACAAAATATCCAGGTTATCTGCGACACCAAGAAAAGACAATAACTAAGCATAATAGGAGTAGAAGGAGAAGAATACCAGGTCACAGGCACAGAAAATATTTTAAACTACATCATAGAAGGAAACTTTCCTAACATAAAGAAGCAAATACCTTTGAAGATACAAGAAGCATATAGGACGCCAAATAGACTGGACCAAAAATATAAATTCTTACACCAAATATTATAAACAGAATAAGGAAAAAATACCAAGAGCTGCAAAGGAAAAAGGTCAAGAAACATATGCAGGTAAAAGCCCGAGTTGTCAATGTAGACTGTCAATGCCCAAAGGTCCTGGACAGATACTATGCAGATTCTAAGAGATTATGATACAACTCTGAATTCTCTTTTCAGAAAAATTACCATAGGTGGATAAAAAATGTATTCCATAAAAAACATATTTAAACAATACCTATCCACATATCCAGGCCCACAGAAAGACTAGAAGAAAAAAATCCAACCCAGGAAATCACAGGCATTCTATAATCCCACACCATCAAACTCCCCTCACACACGACCATCACCATAAAATGACAGGAAACAACAATCAGTGGCTATTGATATCCCTTAATTTCAATGGACTCAACTCACCAAAAAAAGGCACAGGCTACTAGAATGGTGAGGAAAAGAGGATTCATTCTTCTGCTGCACAGAAGAAATCTCCCTCAACTTCAAAGATAGACATTTCACAAGAGTATAGGGATGGGAAAAGAATTTCCAATCAAATGGACCTAAGAATCAAGCTGGTGTAGCTATCCTAATAGCTTACAAAATAGACTTTAAAGTAAAGTTCACCAAAAGAGATAATGAAGGACATTTCATATTTGTCACAGGAAAAATTTGGTAAGAAGAAATCTTAATTCAGAAAAAATATCCCCCAAACACAAGGGCATCAACATTCTTAGGAGAAAAATTACTAAATCAAAAATCAGGCATTCAATCCCACACACTAAAAGCATGAGACTTTAAGTCCCCACTCTTACCAGACACAAAATTAATGCGAAATAAGGTATCTAACAGATGTTATGACTCAAATGGGCTTAACAGACGTTTTTTAAGATATTCCACCCAAACACATAAAACATATACCTTATTCTTAACACCCTATGGAACCATCTCTACAACTGACCACATACTCAGTTACAAAGAAAATATCAACAGATACAGAAAAATTGAAATAACCACATGTGATATATGGGATCATCATAGCTAAAGTTAGAATTCAACAACACAAATTCTAGAAACTCTAAAATCTCATAGAAACTGAATAATGTCCAATGTAATCACCCTTGAGTCAAGGAAGAAATAAAGAAAGAAAATAAAAACTTGCTGGGATTTAGTGAAAATCAATGAACAACATACTCAAAATTATGGGACACTATGAAACCAGTGCTAAGAGGAGTTTTCACAGCATTGAAAATCCAAATAAAGAAGTTAGAGAAACCCCACAATATTGAAATAACAAAAAAAGACCTAGAACAAAAAGCAGGAGGAGTAGATACCAGGAAGTAATTACATTGAGGACTGAAATTGAACAATAGAGAGAAACAATAAAACAAAGATATGGACTTTTTGAGAAAAATAAAAAAGATAGCATAGCCCTTTTCCAAACTAACCAAAAAGCAGAGGGAGAATATCCAAACTGACAAAACCAGAAATGAAAATGGTTACATAACAACAGAGACTGAGGAAATCCAGAGAATCATCAGTACATACTTTTTAAAGTTGTAATCCAGAAAATTGGAAAATCTATAAGAAATGAATAATTTTCTAGATAGGTACCACATACAAAATAAAAATAAGACCAGATAATCAAATTAAATAGACCTGTAACCTCTAAGGAAATAGAAGCAGGCATCAAAAGTATCCTAACCAAAAAACAAAAACAAACAAACAAACAAATATCAAGACCCATCTATACTATTCTTGGGAATTTACCCAAGGAACGCTCAATCATACCACAAGACTATTTGCTCAACAAAGTTCATGGCAGCATTATTTGTCATAACCATAAACTGAAAACAACCCAGATGTCCCCATTCCCCACCTGAAGAATGAATGAGAAAAAATGTGGTAATTTACATAATGGAGTACCAGTCAGTGGTAAAAATAATGTGTTGGGTTGAATGAAAAGTGGCAATTAAGGAGTCCAGGAAACTAGAGAAGGCTGGGCGCACAGGGAAGTAGCTGTCCCTCTGGCATCATCAGGTAAACAGGCCAGCTTCCCGGGCCTGTGTTCCAGAGCCTGCAGATCGCCTGGGAACTGCACAGAGCTCCCAATCCCGGCGGGAGCATCAGGTAAACAGGCCAGCTTCCCGGCCTGTGTTCCAGAGCCTGCAGATCGCCTGGGAACTGCACAGAGCTCCCAATCCCGGTGGGAGCCAAGCACCCCAGACTCCAGATCTTCTCTCCCACCAACGATTCCAGGAAAGGAGAGGAGGCTGGGAGTACAGGGAAGTAGCTGTCCCTCTGGCATCATCAGGTAAACAGGCCAGCTTCCTGGCCTGTGTTCCAGAGCCTGCAGATCGCCTGGGAACTGCACAGAGCTCCCAATCCCGGCGGGAGCATCAGGTAAACAGGCCAGCTTCCCGGCCTGTGTTCCAGAGCCTGCAGATCGCCTGGGAACTGCACAGAGCTCCCAATCCCGGTGGGAGCCAACCACCCCAGACTCCAGATCTTCTCTCCCACCAAAGAGACCAGGAAACTACAGGAGCCAGGGAGACCAGGGGAGTAGCTGTTCTGGATCAGGTACAACAGGACACAGCATAGGGTCCAGGGGACCAGGTAGGAGGCTAAGCGCCCCAGATTCCTGTTCTTCTTCTCTACCCACGGACCAGCATTTGGACAAGGCATAGAAGAACCACCAGATTACTGGACTTACTAGCACCCACCAAAGGGAACTCTGGTCCCCAGACCAGGAAGGGGCTCTTTCTGCACCCACTAGAAGAAGAGATGGGAAAGAGACAATACAAAAACACAGTCAGCAACAGAAACACAAATATGACACCGCCAGATTCTAGAGACTCCACACCAGCAAGACCCCAATATTCCAACGCGAAGGAAGCAGAAGAGAACGACCTTAAAAGCACTTTCATGAAAATGATAGAGGCCCTAAAAGAGGATATTGGAAAATCCCTCAAAGAAATGGAAGAAAAAACAAACCAAAAAATGCAAGAAATGGAAGAAAAAACAAACCAAAAAATGCAAGAATTGGAAGAAAAACAAACCAAAAAAGGCACGAAATGGAAGAAGAAATGAAGCAAAAAATGCAAGAAATGGAAGAAAAAGCAAAGCAAAAAATGCAAG